ATATTTTAATGATTTTGTGTGTTTTGTCGAAATATTTTTAAATAGAATGTTTTTGTGAATAACAAAACAAATTCTGATATCCAAAATTCTACAACTTTGCATATTCCTAAGTAAATAACAGCATATAAATCTTTCCTATTTATTGGGGAATTTTTGAGCTTTCACTGTTGCTATTGGAATGAAGAACTAACCCTTGTAAGACTTTCGTTTTAAATATTAAATATTAAACGTTAAATATTATACCGTCTACCAGTTGATTCCAATAAATTAATTAAAAAAAAAAAATAATGGGTTAAACTGAAATGCATTGTGGCCCTGTATATTTAATAAAAAAAAAACTTCCGCAACAAGTGGCTTCAATTAAGTACGAAGGAACCAGATCATGGCGTTAGTTGTTGTAATTGAGCAAACATTTTGCAATTGTTTTGCTTAAGCATTCTGTGTGTGTATGGCGGCAATTATTCAATTAAGGCACAAGCGTACGAGTCTTCCTCTAATCGGGCAAGTGGTTATCATTTGGCATACAAAACTGTGGCCTATTTTTGTAAGAACAATGGAATGATGAAAAATTGTTCGAGAATTGACAATTAATGAATTCACTTCGCTTATAAAGAAAATTAATACAAAATATGTACATATATATTGTATATTAATATATATCAAATGTTGATAATAAAAACAAAAAATAGAATAATTATTTTTAGCAGCAAGTAGTGCTAGTTGAAACACATTTTTAATAGAACCAAGGACCAACTACAAGTAAAAAATTCACAACAAAACTTAAAAGTATATATAATTTATCATTACAACCCAAAACACAAAAAAGGACCTTACAAGGCACTGATTTCATCCCCACACCACACAAACCCCACACATCAAACTACGTTGCTGTCATACTTACAAATCGGCGTCCTTGACAAAAACGGCATGGATGTCGTTTATAATCTTCTCGCAAAGCACTTCTTGCTCATTGTCATCGTCCAAATCCATATTTGCTTAATTTATATTTCTGTTTTTGATAAGTTGCAAATTTTAATTTTTATACATAAAAGAATTTATTCATTTCTTTTCATATTTTTAATTAATTTTTTTTTCATATATGCAATTTGGCATTTTTATTTATCGCAACATATTTTCAACATTTTGCTGATTATATTTCTTTTTTTTATTTTCTGCTTTTTTGATTGTGCGTTGTCCACTTTGTTATTGTCTACTGGACGAGCGATTTTATTAATAAAAATTTATTTTTAATATTGCACAAATTAATTTAACCAAAAGAAAACACACTGAAGTAACTAATTATATACAGACACATGTACATACGCATAACATAAAACCGAAATTAATTTTTTTAATTTAAACTGTTTTGGCGTGAACGCAATATCAAAAATTTTAATTTAAAATCAATTTTAGCTTAAAAAACCTACGGCCACTCAGCGTTGGGAATCAATCCAAAATAAAGGCAATTTTTTTCTTTCGTTTGTTGAGGCACTTTTGAGCAAGACGTATAAAATGTCACGTGTAATAGTGTTGCCAATACATCAAAAAGTACACTGACAAATATTAAATGAGTTTTAAAATATTTCAATGATATTGTAAAGGCAGTTGCATACAATATTCTAGATATTAGATCTGTTCAACTACTTGTAAAACAGAAGTAAACTGAGAGCGCAACACAAATAAAGTGCCAAATTTCGCTTATTACACAATGCCGCGCAAATAAACAATATAAAAATTTAAATTCGTACTAAAACAGCTGATTCGCACATCAACACAAATTTTACTTGAAATAATATGTACAAGTAAAGTCTATGTAGCATTTTCAAATTTCGACAATGATGTTACGATCTATCATATGCTCTTATTTACTCGAAAATTTGCTGGCAGAACGCACTTATATATACACAGTGTTACTCAAACTTACTACGAGTAGCTCGTGGAACAGACCTATTATATTATTTAAATTAAATATATTAGTAGAGTTTCAATTCGTTGAATTAATGTATTTTCAAATAAACCTGTAGCTCATAACCCCGTTCTAATTCAAATCAAAAGCATAGCAAGGTTTTGGTTAGTGTCACTTACAAATAAACAGACAAAAAGCTTTGCTAGTTGCGGCATAACACGATTAGTCAGTGTGTCTAATTTGACAGACATGAGTTCTAAGCCTGGCGTTTGCAATCCAACAAATTATATATGGACTATAAACTACTTAAATTAAAATTGGTATATTTTCTAAAGATCACTGATGATGAGTACTTAACAAAACTCGAAACAGCGTTATATGGTTAGCCAAATTCCAATAAATTAATTAAAATATTTATTGTTGTTGCTTCAATACTGTTCGAATGCTTCTAACTTAAAAATAAATTAATTTTATTATATCATATCTTTTATTTATATGAAATATATAAATGATTTTGTGATAAACGTGCTAACGCATAATTTATGGGTCAGTTAAATCCTTTTTATAAATTTAATACAAAATAAATTTTTTACATACATATATTATGTATACACATCACAACCCAATTTGCACAATTAAAATCAAGTTTTTAAATTACATTTGATATCATCGTATATTATATTATTTTTATGTATTATATTTATGCAGCAATACTAACCAAAAAATAAACAAAAACAGCCAATTTTACAAAAATTTTAAGCTAAGAATTGAATTGAATTTATTAGATATCATACAAAATAAGTTGATATATATAAATTATAAAAATATTGATTGCCACATTTTTTTGAGATATTCGTATATGTCAACATATTTTTAACAATTGTTAAATAATTTATATTATTTTTACTCAGTAATGTTATAAATAATTATCAAAATATATGATAATATATCGATATTAAATTTTGCTTGCTTAAACAACAAACGAAGCAATATGTAAATAAATATTTTTTGTTCACATTTTTTATTTTTGTTACAATCTCGATAATTTTATATGGATTAATAAAAACAACAAATAATTTCAAAAGCAATTGGTGATGGGTATTTAGCGATACCTAGAACTCCTTTATAGTGAGTCATAATTTTTATCAATTTATATTTGTTATTATAATTTACTACTACTGTTCTACATTTTATTTATCAACTATTTCGGTGATTCTCAGATTAGTACAAATTTGATTAATAGTGCTACCAGTACCAATTGTCGTAATAATAACTTAAAATGAACTTTAGTATAGAAATTTGTTAGCTGTCTCTCTCAGCTGTTTGAATTCTGTGTAAACAATTTTGCAAACACAAGTATGTTTCACTTTTGCTGTTGATGCGAGTGCTGCCAAGACATTTACACACAACAAACTAATCAGATTACGCATTTTGGGTCGTTCAAGCAACTGATTAACATCAAAATGCTAAATTTTTTTTATATGAAGTTTTTGAATCAACTAAGCAACTAATCAGTTGCCTGAATACCCCTAATATTTGTTCTTTATTAACACTTGTATTATTTGTTATCACTATGTAATTAACAGAAAGTTATTTCTTTCTGAGTTTTACAAAGAGCACTGTAAATAACTATGACAAATGGCATGAAATAACTCTTGACATAGACGGAATGAATGTGCAGCATTGTTTTCTCAAAACAGAAGATATAAAATTGAAAAATTGCATAAAATGTGTAATTCTCTTTGTACATAAAAATATTATATATAAGTCAACTTTAGTTTGCTTGAAAATCAATTTCATTGATTTATATGTTAATCTAAGTAACATATAAATAATTTAAAATTCTATGATTTTACTATATAATATTAAAAATTTTTAAATGTCATATTAAAAATGTATTAATTTAACTTACATAGCTATTTCTGCACTTCAGAGATTATTCAAAATTACTAGTACTTTAAACGCCGCACCTTTTTGCTGCTGGGTACTTTTCAAGCAATAAATGAAATATTAGTTGGCAACAGTAACAGCTGATCGCTACATCGCTTTCACATAACATATCAGCTGACTTCTACGAAGAAAATAATAAAACAAAAGTGTGTAAGTGAATATTTTGTTGTGTAAAAATTAAAGTAAGTTTAGTTAAGTAATAAAAATTGATAAAAATCATAACAAATAGAAAATGTCAACAAAAGTAGTTGCAACAGCTACAGTTCGCGCGCTGAAAGGACGTAAACTTATACCAACAAGGGCAGCACTTATTCTGGTAAATTCAATACGTTACGTGATGAAATAATTGGTAATATTTATCATTTAACTATTTTTAGACGGCAGCAGCAGTAAAACGCATTAAAGAATTGTTAACACAAAAACCAGAGTTCGTAAGTGCATACAATTTTTATAGCGTCTACATAAATTAATAAATTATTATATACAGACAGGGTTAAAAGTTGGAGTAAGGCAACGTGGTTGCAATGGACTTTCATACACATTAGATTATGCTAAAGAAAAAGGTAAAATACTTCAACAATAATTCGCAATATAATATTTTATTAACATTTCAATTTAGACAAGTTTGATGAAGAAGTAATACAAGACGGTGTTAAGGTTTTTATAGACAAAAAAGCACAGCTGTCATTGCTTGGTATGTATGGAAAATTGTTTGATTATACCTAAATAAACAATTGATAATCCTGTTTATCATTTTTAGGTACTGAAATGGATTTTGTAGAAAATAAGCTCTCCAGCGAATTTGTTTTTAATAACCCGAATATTAAAGGAACTTGCGGTTGCGGTGAATCATTTAGTTTTTAAAAACGTTTAATATATATATACATATATATATATATATTGGCACAAAATTTGGCACCCACTAAACACGCAATAAAATAATTTCAAAATTTCGTTGTTTTCACAGAACATGTATTATTTAAGACTATCTTCAGTTCAAATGAAATACTCAAAATAACAACTTATATAGTTAACAATATATAATATTTGCTTAAATTTGTGTTAGCGAAGTGTTAAAATTACATTTATGTATAAGTTATAAATATTAGCTGAGAATAAATTCAAAGTCGACAGAGATCACACGTTTTGTTCCTACCTTGCCATTAATTATCTTTCCTTTTACGATTTGGTGTGTAACCAGTTTCTTCGTATTCTTCCCGTGTCAGCAAATACATATTTAAATCTCCGCTATTTGCAAGTTCTTTGCCACCGTACCAACCATAAGACGTCGAATCGTCTGGAAAAATCAATGAAACTTCTAAATCATCGGTAGCTAAAGCACGGAGATCCTTTTTTAGTCTTGGCACAAAATTTTTAAAGTTGGAACTACCACCAATTACTATAATATTTTCTAACATTTCACAATGCATCACCTCAGGACACGAGTTGAGCGAGTCAATTATAGTTTCAGGTATCCCTACTTGCTTAATGCCTACATCAATCGGTGTAAAAAGTAACTCCGGTACGGTAAAACGTTCGTTACACAATTTTAATATTTGTTTATCATCTTCATCTATTTCATTACCATTCTCTCCTTTTTTTGCTTCACCACCTCGTATATATCCACGTTTAACAGTTGTAAAATCTGGCAATACATATTCAACTAAACCAATCTTTTGTTTAGATGCTTTCATGTCCATGTCAAAATTTTGAGAAACAAAACAAACATCCTCTTTAATCTGATTGACAACATAAGTTTCATCCATCATATTTAACTGCCGATAAGATATTAATTCCTTCATATGGTTTGTTAGTGATTTACCACCTATGTCCATGCGTCGTACGCCCTTCATGACAATCTTCCCTTTCACGAAAGGAACAACATGAGTAAAACTATAACCAACATCTACAACAATACAATTTAATGAGTTAATTGGCGTTTCCTCGCTTTCAGCTGCATAGTTATAAGCTGCTAATTCGGCTGTGGTAGTCTTGTGCACACCTGAACAATGATAATCCTCAAATAATATTTCTACCATTGCTTCTTGGATTTGAGGAAAATTCAGCATAGGTTCGGTTATAATAATAGGGCGATCTTCAAGCAATATACCAGTGCCATCTGCACTAAATATATGATCCCACACAATTCTTTCTATTTCCCAATCCATCAGATAACCTTTTTGAAATGGAAGCTGATAAAAAAGACTAGAGGCATCGCGACACTCATCGATTTGGTTGCCAACAAATATTCGCCTACGTTCGGCTTTTGCTTTCATTGTGCAATTAGGTATTAGAAATGGTTCATCTTGCGTAGCTAACCCAACTTTAGCAGTATAGGCACCATTATCAAGCACAACAGCAACTGCATCATCCATATTGAATAGATTTATTATCTTAGATAAAAATTAATGAACAATATTACACAAACATAAAATTTTGAGTTTTTTGACTTACAAACCTTATTTTCTAATAATTATAGTCAGTTTAGGGAATTGCTGACTTCGCCGGTTCCTTCTCTTGTTTTTGCTTATAATAGCTTTTGTGTTTTCATTAAATTGAATAGGTAATTTTTGGTAATGTAAGTTTATTTTACATAAAATTAAAAATTTATGTACTTTATTTTATATGACCTATATAACGGAGCCCGAAGTTATAAACAAAAAATGACATAAAACGTAAAAATACATAAGCTTCACGCAACAAATTGGGTTGCCCATAAAAAAATTTAATAGAAACTTTAGCAGAGTTGCTGTTTAATAGTACAATTTTTTATGTAGTGGAGAGGTTTCGTAAAATTGTGAATTAAAACTACAAAAATTCTTTTTATATTATTTTATTTAATTGAATTTTTGGCTGATCATAAAGCTGTTTCGATTATTACCAAATACCCACCATCATCAGTTTTAGACTTATTTTTTATATTCAATTATTCGTATATAATTTTTTGAGACTGCACTTGCAGTAGTACTTTAAAATACTGTTCTACGTGTTGGTCCATTCCACAGTTGAGTAAAATGGAGAATAAATATTAATTTTTATAACAGTTTTAGTTAAGTAAAAAAAAATTGACTATTTACTGCATTTAGTGGATTTAATTTTTACTCATGCTTTGTTTGATGTTTAAATGTTAAATTACCTCTCAGAATGTTTCTTTTGCTTTTCTAAACGCGTTGTATATGCCTTTATATATATATGAATTTTTAATCCCCAGACACTTCAATCTTAAGTGTAGGAAGCGTAAGAAATTAATACAGCAAAATTAATACTTAAAAATTACTCAGGCGTAGCATGAGCCATTAATTGTGTATTATTTTTAATGCAATAAACCTTAATTATACTAGAATGGGATTTCAGCTTTTGAACAATTGAAAACCGTCAGCGGAATGGGTGGAAAAGTGAAAATATGAATATACTAGTGACGGCAATACTTTTTTCAGAGTGTACTTCCTCAATACAAAATATAGAACATCTTTTTTATGTTCTTGTACGGATTTACTATAAAAAGCTATATGCAACATTTCTCATACAAAAATTATGACATATACATATGCAACAGCAACAAAATTTGGTTCATACACATATGTTGTAAATGATGTAGATTCTAGTAAACAATTAGTCACAATAATCATACAATGTAAACATAGTATTAATTCTTGAATATCAATGTTACAAACATTTAAATAAAGTTTATTTTTAACTTAGCAATCTTGTCACATATCTAAAAGTTATCTACACATATATATAACAATTGTAATTAAAAAAAATTTTTTGGTAGGAATGAGTGCAAAGTACTTATAGCAGTTTTTTTGCTTCCTGGGAACCCTGTCGTAAAGATATATGTCAAAACAAAATTGACAACAGGATTCCAAATTTTATGTAATAATTTGGTTTTTTATTGGCCAAATTTTAGCGTTTAATATGTCTTTAATACGTCAAGCATTACGACGGGCGACACAGAATGTGCAATGGTATGTAAGCAAAAAATATAAACACCTCTAATTAACCATAATTAATTAAAGGGTGCGCACTATGTCATTGGGTTCTCGCGATGCTCCGTACATTGACGTTGACGCAGCTTTAGCTAAACCTGAAGAAATCGAAGAAAAGAAAAAATTGAGTAGTACTATAACCGTACCAGAGAAGGTGGATATTAGTCCCATTACAGGTGTGCCTGAAGAACATGTTAAGACGCGCCGTGTCTGCATACATGTACCAGCCAAAAATGCTATGCAAAGCGGTACCAACAACCTGAATTACTGGAAAATTGAATTTGATAATCGTGAGCGTTGGGAAAATCCACTAATGGGCTGGACATCTACGTAAGTGTAGAATGGTAATAACTTTTCGTTCAATTTAATAATAAAATTTTCTATTTACAGCGGCGATCCCTTATCGAATATGCAAATTGAGTTCGGCACAAAAGAGGAAGCAATAGCACATTGCGAAAAAAATGGTTGGCGCTGGTTTATAGGTGAAGAGGATAAGCCAAAGAAAGAACGCGTTAAAAATTATGGTGTCAACTTTTCATGGAATAAACGTACACGCGTATCTACTAAGTAACTACTTGATTTAAAAAAGAAATACTGCTGTAGCGAAATATATCTTTTAAAAAACTATTGATTTGGAAAATTGTGAACTAGAAAGTTAAAGCTACCAATATAATATAGCGAAATATTAAAATATAATTTTAATGAAAGCATTTAGTGTTTTATTGGCGAGTTTCTATTTTATTCATAATGCTTGTGCTTTTTTTTATGTGTGTGGCTTCCATCATAACTTGAACTTCTACTACGTTTGTGTTTCTTTCTTTTTTTATGTATGTCAGGACTTTTACTTCTTTTGTGTTTATAATGTTCAGAACTATACCTTCTTCTGCTGTCTGAATCAGTTTTGTCACGGTGTTTTGATTCTTGTCGCTTATTGCTACTACTTTTGTAATAACGATCACGACTTCGACTACGCGTTTTGTGTTTACTTCTTTCGTGTTTGTAATGATTGCTATGATGATAAGGACTTCGACGTTCAATACTACGACTTCTATTTGATCTACTGCTGTATGTTTCTGTGCGTTTAATATCCTTTCTACTTTTCTCATTTCTATGAATTTTATGCTTTTCTTTTTTCATATATTGCTCCATTGCTAACATTTGTAATTCTACTAAACTACGTACTTCTTCAATGTGTGTCGGTTTAGATTTACGATGCCTCCGTTGTTTTTGTTTTCTTTCACGATTTTCAGCAGCAACTATTTCAGCAAAGGTCTTATTACCTTCATTGGAAAAACTAAAAAAAAAATATTTTTTATCAACAAACAAACAGTAGATAGTTTCTATTTACTCACGGTATTTTCAATTCTGGCTCCGAAAATTTTCCTGTTCGCTGCAAAACGTATTCATAGATTTTCAATTTTTGTTCACAGTTAAAATTTACTTGCAAATCTGAAAACCTTTCCGGTATTTTAATGGTTTTATTAGATAATAATTTCTGCAATTCATTTTGATCTGGAAAGCAGTTTACACTATATTAATAAACAAAAAATTTGTTGAAACACCAACCTAATTTGACGGTATATTGATTGCTCATGAAACTTTCAGGTAGCGGTGGATCATTTTTATTTAAATTGGCTGCATTATCTTCTAATTTCTTTGATGTTAAATTCTAAAAATACATATTTATTATAAATTTAAAAGATAATATTCACATTTACTTTTAATTCAGTTTTAATTTTAGATCTATGTAGTATGCGTTCCAGCCGTTGTTTGCTATTTTGTAAAAAGTCTTTTAAATTTATACTACTTCCTGTTTTTTTATTGAATTCTAGCGGTTCCATATTAATCACGTTTTCATGTTTCAATATATTAAGTTATAATAAACAAAAAACAAATTCATTAAACAACTGGCTTTTGAATTCACATTTGCTGCTGAACACTTTCTAGTGTTGAAAAATCAACAACGACGTATAATTTTGATGACAGTTGTAAATATTTCTAACAAAAACAATTAAGCACAAAAAACTCGACTCTTATTATTACAACAATCTTATTATAACTATTTTTTAATAGTCGCAGAAACTTTTTTTTAGCATATTTTTTTATAATTTTTTATATTGTTCTTTTTATATATATTCTCATTCTGTATAAATGAGTTCCAACGAGGTTAGAATAAGTTCCAAATATGTTCCAAATGCAAATGAATACAGTGAACACACCCTAAGAAAACTATTTTTGACATATTAACAAAAAAATGAAAACAAATATTTAGTTGTTGCATTTTCTTGAAAACGATGCACCTCATTTTGAAACTTCTACTTCCCACAAATAAATAATCGAAGCTGAACATAAGTTTTCAGTTTATATTGTAAAGTTAAAAGGTATATTTAACTTTCATCAAACATTTTTTTGGCACAGGCAAGAAATCAAATCAACAGATAAGTTGAAAAACCAGCGATTGTAAACACTTTCAAATGGCTCATTTAAAATAAGTCATTTTCGGCCAGTGTAAACTACATACAAATATTAAAATATTCACTATTGTGAATTTGTACTTAAGAAATGGAAAAAGTACAACAAAGAATACTTCTTTGGTAGATGTATGCGCAAACAATTTCAGATTAAGTACTTTTTGATATACACAAATATTCTAGAAGGCTTTCGTTCTGTCATTATTTCTTTATATATTTTAGAGAAAAGGCAGAATTGAGACAAATGAGTCAATATCAAAAGCAACTCCGGCGCTTACTTTGGACAACAAACCATCAGTTACGAAACGCTCATATCGTCGTAGAAAAGTTTGTAGTGATTTCAGGATTTAAATTTGCTTGACTATTTTCAAGCAAATATTTTTGAACACGAAAATAAAATAAGCAAAATGCAAATGCCCTTTATAATGAGCCCTTTCGGATTTCAATTTCTTTAGAAAAGAGAATTGCCATTGAGTTGTATTATTTGTCATAAGCTCAGCATGCTTAA